GTCGTTAAAATTCCGAAAAATGTTTAAGCGGACTACACCACCACCTCGACATCTTAAATTTCGAAGATCATGCCGCCGACACACGGTAGCTCACCTGTCACGGTAGGTAGTCTCGTCTGCCAGTATAAATGGTATAACATATTGATAAAAGCGTGTGGCAGTTTATGTGCAGCATTATGGGACCCTCCTCCCCATTTCTAGGGTAAGTATTATAAGTGTACAGGTGAACTGCTACATCGAAAAACCATGTATATTTCACGATAAATTACTGATAACCTTATGTAGCTTTCTACGCTCAGCGCAGCAATGTCAGGGTTAAAGATAAAGGGAAAATCAGGACTGATACGAAGATAAAAACATAGAATGGGAACTTTCATAGCGTAGAGTGAAAATCTCAAATTTAAAGTAGCTGAAAGAAGTCCTTGTTTTTCACCACTTGAAACATATATATATATATATATATTCGAAACTTGTAATAAAACGTTATGTTTGAATTTTAACGGAAATAATATAGAGTTTTAGTTTAGAACGTAAATGCGATTTGCAAAAAATGATTTTGGTCAAAGAATATGTTGAACGTGGTAAATATAGTAGAGATGGTTCTTATAGTGTGTGGTAAAAAGATGAACATTGTAGATACAGTACAGATGAATGTGACAGAGTGTCTATTACAAAGGTCAACCTGATAGATATAGTAGAAATGGATCTCACAGAGCATCTTGTAAAAGGATGAAAGTGGTAGATATAATATAAATTACTCTGACAGAGTGTCTGGTACAGAGATGGACGTGGTAGATAAAGTAGGGATTGCTGTGACAGAGTGTTTGGTACAATTAATGAACGTGGTAGATTTAGTAGAGATGATCTGACTGAATGCCTGGTACTAAGATGAACGTGGTAAATATAGAAGAGACGGTTATAACAGTGTCTGGTACCAAGATCAACGTGGTGGATAGAGTAGACGTGGTTCTGACTGAATGCCTGGTAAATGTAGTGGATGTGATTATCATAGTTTCCAGTAGTACCAAATTGAACGTGGTAGATATAGTAGACGTGGTTCTGACTGAATGCCTGGTAAATGTAGTGGATGTGATTATCATAGTTTCCAGTAGTACCAAATTGAACGTGGTAGATATAGTAGACGTGGTTCTGACAGAATGCCTGGTAAAATAATGAACATGGTGTATACAGTAGAAATGGTTCTGACAAAATGTCTGGTAAAAAGTAAACGTTATTGATATAAAATCTATAGAATCTAGTTTGAATGTTGATATAACATACAATATCTTAAACTTGCAAGTTTATCTATATTATTGTTATTAATAATTAATAAAGTCATTATATTATAAATACATGCCCAAAAATTGACAATCTACCCGCAGGAAAAAAACAACGAATGAATCAACATTTTGATGAATCATAATTCTAATAAATCTTTGAAATATATATATGTATATGTAATTATAGAAAAAAACGGGTTTGGGCATCTATTTAATTGAAAGAATAATGTGTGTCAGTCAGTCCGTGTGTGTGCGTGCTATCTCGCATGTAAACCCAATATTCCTATTGGCTAATTGTATAGTGGAACTTTTACGTTTATTCGAGTGTAAAACTACGACGTTTATAACATTAACTTTAAAGACAATTACTTCAGTGACATAGATAACTCACAAGGAAACGCGCTACGTTAATTTTTTTTACCTTTTCGTTGCTTATAAATAAGGAATAACATTAAATCCCAATACAGATTCCAAATGTGCCTAAAAACCGACAGTTAGGCCTAAAGTTTAAGCATGGGTTTACCAGCTATATATAACTAAGGCAGTTAGCCTTAATAGTTACTGCCACAACTTTGTTAATTTTCGATGCTCTACAGCTGATTCATTGCACGAAAGAAAATAATTACAGGTTTCAGATAGTATAAAAATGCGTATAAAACACAAATACATACAAGAAATTTACAAAACAAACAAACATGAAAACAATTGATTGTTACACTTCTTGATACCATAATTTTAAAATCAAAAGTTCACTGTTTTATAACTATTAAACGTTTTCAATTATCTCAAAACAGGCGCCTAAAAATGGACAAATAGGTTTAAAGTGTACATACCCTTCGTACGAGTCAACCTGCTAGGGGAATGTTTCTCAAACGGATTTGCCAGACGACCCTTACGTCCGGGCTTTGGTCGTCGCGACCCCCAATTTTCTTTATAAAGATGAAAAAACATTTTGTTTATTTAAATAAAATGTTGACTCCGCGCAGACAGCTTGCGACTCCCAAGGGGTCGCGGCCCACCGTTTGAGAAATACTGTGCTAGGGAGATAAAATATTATTACACCACTTCCTTTATTGGTGGTGGTGGACCCAAGGCTTCGTTAATACTTTAAGAGAAACTAAAAAAGAGTATTGATACCATTATGGTGGACCCAAGGCTTCGTTAATACTTTAAGAGAGACTAAAAAGAGTGTTGATACCATTATGGTGGACCCAAGGCTTCGTTAATACTTTAAGAGAGACTAAAAAGAGTGTTGATACCATTATGGTGGACCCAAGGCTTCGTTAATACTTTAAGAGAGACTAAAAAGAGTGTTGATACCATTATGG